GTACTTCATCAGTTGTTGTTACAGAAGGTTCTCATTTAGAATCTGAACAGTCCTATTGCAGTTTACATTTTAATCCTATAAGAACTGCTTTGGAAGCTTTTCTTAGTATATAGGTCAACACTTCAGTTCGCTATCTGAACCAATTTAAGAAAATAGAAGGACAGAATGGTACATTAATCGAACCCATCGGAGTGGAATTACGCGACCTTCGCTTAGTCAAATATAAACAATTTCAACCACTGCCTTCGCTATCTTTAAGCGAACAAGTGGACCAAGCCTGTGTCTTCAATCTTGCGGGATCATTAACAACGTTAGTTGGCCCGAATAGCTCGGGAAAGACAACTCTATTAAAAGCAGTCCAATTATTTTGTCACGCTGTTAAACATGGAACTGGTGATTGTCCATTAAAGCAAGCAAAAGAACTATTTGGCATTGAACATACCATGCCTAACATTGCATTGCAAGGTGTTTTCACTGTTCATTATAACGATTCAAAGGAGAAAAGAGACTTAGAATTGAATGTAATGTTAACACAAGATACTTGTGGTTGTCAAGATGGCGAAGAGTACACAATAGGCCAGAATCAGAATCTTGGGTTGAAAGAATATTTTAGAAACTTAAGAAAAGAACATGTTTATATTTGTGTTACTGGACAGAAGACAACATTCAATTGTCCTAAACACCTCAATAATTGGAGGCCGTGTCTAAAAAATTATCGTAATGTTTCTCTTTATCGAACTGACTATGGAATATTCGAAAATTTACTTCCCACAGTTGTACCGTTCAACAGTAAGAGTGTATTTGACGGGAATTTAACCGATTTATTCCACCGAATACCAAAAATTCGAAATTGCAAAGAAGAAATCAATAAAGAAATTGATCGTATATTTCCTGGTATTCGACTTTGTTACCAGGAAGAAATTTTACAAAAGCATTCAGCATGGCGTGAACTATACGGACAAAGTTTTAATCTAGAGCAACAAGGTACACCGATCTTGACTACAGATCTCAGAGTATCATCTGAACATGAAAAGATTGGACAAACTTTTGAAAACATTACTCCATGTGGTGAAGGTGTGTTACAATGTCTAACCCTTATCATAACCATATGTTGTGCAGAATCAAATTCTATTATTACAATTGACGAGCCCGATGCTCATGTATTTCCGAATGCTCAAAAGTTACTAATCAATTTTTTCCATCATAAATTGGAAGAATTCTCTAAATCAAATCGCTTCTGTCAAATGATAATACCACACACTCTACCGATATAATGCAAGCAGTTAAACAGGAAGAAATTCGACAGCTATTTCCACGTTCAGAACTTGGTAATCCCATTGAAATAAAATCATTAGCATGCATTGGTCAATTATTGAATGCAATGACCGATGTAGGAGCATCGATTTTAAGTCACGGTGAATTTGTTCGTTTGGCTATTCATCGAAAATTATTATACTTGGAAAATCATGATGATTATAATTTCTTAAACAAATTAGTAGATCGATCTAAACCAGAATTGTTAAAACTTCCATTTACGATAATGGGCAAAGGTGGACGACCTCATTCACTTCAAGTTAAACAAATGCTACTTCAATTTGGACAATTTTTACCAAAGGAAACCATACTTCATATTTTCATTCTCGTGGACTCAGATCTTCGATCACGGGATATTTTGGATAACGAAGAAAAAGAATATAAAAAAATACAAGCTGATCTATACGATCCGAAAAATCCGAAGAAGCAAACTATAAAAGTTCAACTTTACTATCACTGCTGGGCTGCACGTGAATGGGAAAATTGGCTCCTTTCTAATGAAAATTTACTTTATAAAATGATATGTGACGATGAAATATATCATAAAGATGAAGCGATCAAAAGAATACGAGGTCGAATACAACAACACCAATCAATGGAATCAATATTCCCTACATCTGATTCATTTCAACATGATCAACCCATGATAACCACCATCGGTGGTGCAAGCAATGCTCCACGCTACCCTATATGTAAAAGGCGATTTGAAAGTTGGCTTAAGGACGAACTGAAACGCCATTTCCAGATATTGTTAAACAAATTAACGGTGTCCGCCATGGAAGGCATCGAAAATACCAGTGGCAACGAAGAAAAAGACTTACAGCATAAAGCCTGTGTTGCATTTTTAACGGATAACGGTATAAATGATGATATTATGAACAAATTTGGTCACCTTCGTGAACGAATTGAACAATACATTGGACGTCAAGTACGATACGAAAATGAAGAATATAAAGAAGAGCGAAATGGAAAAAAAAGACAGCAGAAAGCTAATGCAAGAGAAACAGGCGAAGAGAAAAAAAGACGGCTGGAGACTGATTCGAGAAAAACAAATAAAGCAAAAGAGTGCCGTGATAAATGGTTAACGGATCGAAAATTACCGAAAACAATAGAAACAACTGAAGTTCTTAATGAAACAATCAGAAAAGAATTAACAAAATGGATTGACGCAAAACTATTCTTCCATGAATTGAGACATGGTGAAGATAGTACAGCTCAAAATAAAGGTCTCGATAGTTATTGGAGACAAGTATTTGCAATGGGAGAATCAGAAAATAATACATATAAAAGGTACTTTAATTCGATTGATCCACAAAAACCAGATGAATGGCCGAGAGATTTTAATAATTTACTTGAAAAGTTTCGAGAATTTATACAAGCACCATAATATCGCGATTTCTTTCTTTTTTTTATAAACAAATTCCACTTTACATTTTTTTCCTGTAACTAGATGTTTCTCTGTAACCTTCATTATACCGATTATTTGATTTTTGTGAATGTATTACTTTGAATCTAGGGGGGAAACGGCGGATTTTCCACTCCCGGGATTCTCTGGATTCCCATTGTAGAGTGTGGGTGTGTGGTGTGGGGTGGATGTGGGTGTGGGTGTGGGTGGGTGTGGATGTGGATGTGGGTGTGGGATGTGGGATGTGGGTGTGGGTTGGGGTGTGGGTTGGGGTGTGGGTGTGGAGTGTCGGTATGGGGTGTGGGTGCGAGTGTGAGTGTGAGTATGGGTGTGAGAGTGAGTGTTAGCGTGGATATGGGTGTGGGTGTAGCTGGGGGTGTGGGTTATATCTTCATTGACACTCTCATCCATACACCCTCAGCTACACCCACACCCACAACCACATCCACCCACACTCACAACCACATCCACCACACCCACACCCATATCCACCCACAACCACATCCATCCACAACCACATCCACCCACACCCGCACCCACCCACACCCAAACTCACCCACACTCACATCGACACCCCATCCACATCCACACCCTGAAAATGGCAATATCTTTCGTTTGATGCAACCAGTTGGTAGAATTCTTGTAACAGTAAAACACACATCTCACAGAACAGAAAGCTTCGTGATGGTAAAAATAGCAGGCACTCGCTCACTACAAGTCACTTTTATCGCTCTGCTGCGGCTGCATGCGACTATATGTGAAAGAAGAAATGGTATTTTCATTTTTGTATGCTGAAGCAAAACGAAAATACAGAATAGAAAAGAAAAAGAAGCAGAATACAAGTACAATGCACACGTTGCAGAAGAGCAGTAAATGAGTATCTCTGATTCAACATATTTCACAGCGAGATACAGATCCATTCGCAACAAAATATAGACTAAGTCTGACGTAGGCGTGACGTCTGTCATCAACAGATGTTTTCGTTTCGCTGTATGGAACGATGAAGCAATCTTTTGCTATTTTAAGCATACAATCACTTCTTTCCGACATAGTTAGATGTTAGACCATTACATATCCATTGAACAGAACGTGCAATAACGATATATGATCTAAATATCAAACGAATTTGAGAGGCATCTTAGATAGAAACTTATGCCTCCTGTTGGTTTCTTTGATGATTTGTGCTAAAGACAATATGCCTGAATGTATTGAATGATCAAAACTAAAGTTTTCTATCGTGAATTTGACGAACAATATTTCAATACTTAGATGCATCTCCATTAGTTCAAGGCTACAAAGAATTACTTTGTTGTATTGAAATGCAATAAAAGTATCAAAACAAATGAAAAGTAATCAAGTTTGTTTAGGGGCTTAGTCCGGAATACTTCTTGAAACCTTGTGTATTTGGATGGTACTTGTATTGCCTCCAATTCCGTTGTTTCCATTATTCGACATCATGTTATTGCCTATCATGACTATCGTGTTATGACTATTTCCAGTGAAGAAGAACGCATTTCCCAAGCAATTAATGACACGGAAATCGGTGAGTTTCAAGAAACTGTTTGCATCACGTGTTAAAGTATTAATGTAAACACCGTCACCTTCAACTGAACCAGCCCAGTTGTCCGACAATGATACATCGGCAGCTGATTCGATTTCATAACCTCTTGGGAAGTCGCTATCGTCGTACTTGCGCACAGAATCGACCAAACTTTGCCGAATAAACACCCATTCGGATGGAATCAATTGGTTATTAGAGTTGAAAGAAAATCCACTACGACGAGTCCAGGCCATTGAAACTCCGACGACGTAAACTCCAGAATTTCCGCCTTCAATCATCATACCATAACGAGTACGATGCGCAAAATCTGACTGACGGCAAGATCCATCGTTGATGTGACAACAAGTGACTGTCTTGCATCCATGTATGCGCGTTTCATCAACAAAGATTTCAACATTAGTTGTCGACCCATTTGCACCTTCAATCGGACCATTTGGACCAATAAATATGCCGACTTCAGAGGCTCCGTACACATAACTATTTCGGATATGAATGTCGAATAAAGCTTGTTCTAAGAATATCCCGTAATTGCCGCCAATAGTAGCGACACTATCAATAGCCGATGATTGGCATGCGCCAAGATAGATAATAGAGCCAGAGTCTTTACCAATTAAGATCAATTCTTTTAATAAGAAGTTTGTCACGGGCGCTGACAGGCCTCGAATAGTGATAAAATCACCGCTACCAGTTTGGACTAAGTGAGCTCCAGAACCACGGATGACGAAGCCATTATGGGTTGAATTAAAAGACAGTGAATCGACTGGCCACTTGCCACGTGTGAAACGAAACTCTCCATTGAAGCAAGGTTGGGCAAAAAGTGATTGTAAGAGTTCAGCGTTCTGTATGCCCGCTTGTTTATTGTCAATGTTCTCTACATACGGTTGCAATCCAAGGGTCAACGAGTCACTGATATTGCAAGTGATAGTTAGTGCAACGGCAAGATCGGTTAGCATTGAGCAAAGGACACTGAAGATAAGAGCCAATGTTTGCCTAACCATTTGTATACTACTACTGTAAAAGTAAAAGAATAATGAGTGCCACTAAGTTCCATGCTACTAGGGCGTATGAAACCTCCTCTCCTCGTGTAATGATGAAGAGTGCTGAAGTTTTCGGCACAAACCTACGATGATCGTTTCCCTTACTCTCCGGTTGATGGTATGGATCTGCAAATGGCATATCTACAATCAGCTCGTCATGAAGAAACAGATAGTACGTTTCTCAGATCGATTCACTGACAGCTTCATTTTTTTTCTTAAATAATCACAGATCAGTTCTCCTACGAGGGATCTTCCAAGTCGAGCTTAAAAACGACTAGCCAAACAGGGAGACTTCTTCTTTATGTAATATTCAACTGTGAGCGCTTCGTGGTTATATTAAAATAGGGAATGAACCGAAACCGAAAAACTTGAGCTTCAAATATTGAAGAAAAGATAACGATGAATGTCCTCAAAGATTGTCATTGTTGAAACAACGTCAAATATGGTGTTCTTACAACTTCGAGTAATGAGAATTGAGTGCAGTCTGTTTTTGAACGGCTAACAATTCTATTTACTCGATGGATCTTAGTTACCATACGTTGTTGGTGGAAAGCGATAGATGAATCTGAGATGCAGTAGTGATATTTTGTGTTGTGTAGATTGTAACTACAATCTTTTTTCTTTCTCGTAAAAGAAGAGGAGCATTTTTGTTTCATTCTTTTTTATCATCTAGGTGAAAAAACGAAAATAACTCGTCAACTATACAGCGACGTAGATAAAAGAAGTTTGATAAGCTGCATTGACTTCCATATACACTCACGACACCATTGTATTGATCTGTCAAAATTCGTTAGGAATTTCGCTTCCCTTCTGTTATTTCAGCTGTCTTAAAGCAAGAGGGTGTGGGTGTCGGTATGATCCAGCAGCAGAGCCAAATCCGCACCCATACCCACACCACCCATATTATTAATACTATTAATAATGTGTGTTAAGTTTGTTTTGTCGTACTAGGTGGGAAATAATATTTTGATAGGAGGGTACCGCTATAATTTCATATAGAGTAAATAATGAATTTTATACCAAATGGAAGCCCGTCAAAAATGGGGTTTATTGATATTAAATAGTAAGGGTTATGAAAACTTTTTAATATCGAACTTAAGAAACTTTCAGAAATTTTATACTTTTTTTACGGTGGAAAAGTAAGATGCTAATAATTCTAAAATAGAGTAAAATGTTTTTCTTGGATATTTTTACATGGTTCGATAGAGCTCATCGAGCTCTACAAAACTGTACAAATGAAAATTTTCTGAGTCATTTTTTTGTGATAAAAAGTTGAAAAAACTATTTGGAAAATCTTAAAAAATGTTTAAAAAAGCCATATTTTTGATATGGAAGAAAAATACTCGAATTTTCAATAAAATTAGCTTTTTTTGATTATTTTTACTCCCTCAGGCATTTCAAAATATACTCATTCGATGCAGCGTGAAAAACGGCATCGAATGAGTATATTTTCAAACATCTTACATAAGGATACTAATGGGTGTGGGTGTGGGTGTGGGTGGGTGTGGGTGGGTGTGGGTGTGGGTGTGGGTGTGTGTGGGCGTGGGTGTGGGTGTGGGTGTGGGTGTGTGTGGGTGTGGGTGTGGGTGTGGGTGCGGGTGTGGCTGTGGGGTGTGAGTGTGGGATGTGGAGTGTGGGTGTGGAGTGTGGGTGTGGAGTGTGGGTGTGTAATGGCTGATGCATTTACACCCACACCCGAGATATATCAAAACGATATCACATATCCAACACGTGAAATACACCTAGATGATAGATACATATGTGTCTTTCGATTGCGCTGATATATTATATATATTATTACTAGGTATAATTCCACACAACGTACATCTATATATAATACATATATGTACCAGTTTGACAGCTGTCAAAAGGACGTAAATAAAGAGAACGAGAAAAAAATCCAAATCAATTTAAAAACATAAGAGACGTGTTACACTGGCATAATGTAGACGAAATCGGCTTCAAACAGTATCCATCATCCGCATAAGTCGCCATTTACATTCAATAACACTACGATGCGTCTAGAAGTACCATATAATACTTGAAAGCTTCTTTACACCAAGTACTTTGCATAGGACATCCGTCACATAACTGCCTTCTATTCAACCAGAAGCACTAAGTTCACCCAAACTTGAAACAACCGGCTATATCAGCGCATAGAGTTTGAAAAGTTCTACCGAATGACTATGAAAAAACTTGATCGTAAAGACATTTGTATGCGATATATATACTCAACTAAGGATATCAATATGATATTTTCCCATCATTTTCAATAGTATGTCCAATAAAATTTTTGTCACCAATAAATTAAAAAAGAATAAACTATACCAGCGTGTAGAGCTTGAAAAGCTCTATCGAATGGCTATGAAGAAACCTGGTCGTAG